AACAAAAACAATTCGATCATGGATTACAAAAAAATCGATCAAGTATTACAAAAAAATCTATCATGAATTACAAAAAAATAAAAATAAAAAAAATAAAAATAAAAATAAAAATAAAAAAAAATAAAAGAAAAAATCCGTACGGACTCGCCGATTCACTGTTCGGACTCGCCGATTCCGTACAGTGAATCGGCGAGTCACTGTGCGGAATCGTCCGGTTCTCTCTAGAACCGGACGATTTCCGATTTTTCAACCGATCCGGTCCCTTTTTGCGAATTCCGAGTCGGCGTTTTTTAAAACGCTGGGTGTGCCCCAATGAGAGGAAGACGCGTACCAAATTTCATCATATTCATAAAATTTGTATAAAAAAACTAAAAATAGAATACTGTGAAACGTCATATCTAAGATCAAATGGTGAGTGACTCTCTTGATCAAAATTGGACGGCTGGATGGTAGGGGGAACTTCTATGCTATAGGGGAAATATAGAAACCTTTTTCGAAAATAAAATGTACCATCTTCTTATTTATCTTGTCAAAAATAAATTCTTTTTATCAAAAATAAAATAATATAAAATAAAAGGTACCATCTTTTTATTTTTCTTGTCAATTTTTTTTTATTTTTACAGTAATAAAATAAAATACAATAAAAGGTACCATCTTCTTATTTTTCTTGTCAAAAAAAATTTATTTTTGTCAAAAACAAATTATTTTTTTCAAAAACTAACTTTTTGTTTAAAATAAAATAAAACGTACCATCTACTTATTTTTTTTGTCAAAAAAAATTCTCTTTGTCAAAAAAATAAAATAAAATAATAGATATTATCTTCTTATTTTTCTTGTCAAAAATTTTATTTTGTCAAAAAATAAAATAAAAGGTACCTAGGCAACACTATCTTCTTATTTTTCTTGTAAAAAAAAAGAAAATGTAATACAACAACTATTTCTTGCCAAAAAATAAATAAAAATAAGTATTTCTTGCCAAAAAAGAAATAAAAGGTCATACAACAAGTATCATGTTTTTCAAGCATGCATTTTAGCTGTGATTATCGTAAGCTTAAATTAGATATGTAAAGGTAATACGATATAGGTTTGAAGTATGCTAGTTGTTTAGCTGCGATTATCGTTAGATTAAATTAGATATGTAAAGGTAATACAATATAGGCTTGAAGCTTGTTAGCTATTTTTTTTTCTCTTATATATAAATGCCTATTGTTAGATTTTTTTTTTTTTAATTAGGAATAAATGGTCTAATTATATTTTTTATTTTTATAACATGGTGGCCTTTAACATGAATTTAATAATATTAATTTAAAGATAAGGTTCATACAATGAGGCTATTTGAAATCTCTTTCTCTACTACCAATATCTTGCACTAAATTTATTCTAGAAACCTAAAAAACTAGATTTTTGAAAAAAAATTGCATTATAAGTGCTATTTTTTCTTACAGTTGTTAATAATATATTTTAAATTAGATTATATTATAAGATATTTTGGATTTGTTATTATTTGTATAGTAAAATAATTATAAAATATAAACCAACAATTTTAATTTAAGTATATAATATTATAGTTAGTTAGGTTGTAATAATTTTGGATCATAGTTAGTTAGGTTGTAATAATTTTGGATTATAGTTAGTTTGGTTGTAATAATTTGGGTATTTTTTAGTGGATTAAGGTTTTCCGCCAATTTGAGATTTTGGTAGCCATTTTTTCATTGATTTAATCCATTCTTCATTGTAGTCTATATATGATGATATACTTCATTCATGATAATTTTATGCTTATCATTTTGTGTGATGTAAATTTAATGGTCAATCGTAGTTTATGCAAGGAAAGAACATCTCAATATTCGCTTATTGATGCAAAAAAATAAAAGTTCTTAATGGATAACTCTCATTTTTTTTTGTATTCCTAAAAATCAACCATCTCAATATTCACATATTCATGCAAAAAATGAAAGTTGTTAATGGATTACCTCATTTCTTATTCGGTTATTAAAATTCAATATTTATAATGAAATTTAATAATTTTTTGAATTATTTTAAAGTTAAATCCGATCAATTTAACTGATTTTCAATCCAAATTGCTGATTCACCAATCCGGATGTGTTATTCGGGTGTCCCATCCAAAACACCAATCTATTTTTTAAACCGATCTTAACTGTTTACTTTCAAAAAAAGTTAATATAAGGTGTCAACCACGAGCAAGGTGCACCTAAAAAACCACTAGAGAAGGTTGGTCCAATCTTGAAAAAAAATCAAATCCAGCTTATCGACTTTGTTATTCATGGACATGAAAGGAACAGGGGTTTTTAGTCCTATCATAGTTCATCTTCTAATTCATCATCTGGTCCGTCCAATTTTCAAGATCATCGAGTTCATCATCGCCGAATTTTAAATTTCATATTTGGGGGCATCAAAATTCAGAGTTTTGAGGTACAAGGCCTCACCCTTTTTTACTCCCTTCACTCTCAACTTTACCCTAAAAAAGCAAGAGCTTGTTCGCCCCTCCTCCCCTTCGTCGTTGTCTCTGATCTCAAATGGTGAGACACGCAGTGGGTTGATGATATCGCACTGACAAGCAATGATTTGAGGTCTTAATCTAGAAACTAGAGAGTGAAAGCGAAGGCATCTAGTTCTTTCCAATCTCTCTAGAGAGGGAGTATTTGGATGTTCAAGAAAGCAGCTGGGATATGGAAGCAAGCTGTAAGCCGTCTTTTTATTGACGCCTGCTTCTTACGCGTCTCTCTCTTGAGAGATTTGGATTTCCAATAAAGCAGCTAGGGATATGGAAGGTTGATGTCTGATCATTTTCAATTCGTTCTTGCCTGATTTATGATTGGGGAATGTTTATTGTGTTTTACATGTTAAAATTTTAGTGGTTTTTTCTCAGTTTTACAAGAATTCCCTGATGACTGAATTAGGCTAAATTTTATGATAGTGAAATTGAATTTATGGGAAAGCATGATATTGCAATTTAGTACATGGCTGGCAATTATTTTGGCCTTATTCAATTATACAATTAAATAATTTTTAATTTTTGAATTTTGTATCATGGACAAAAGCAGTAATACTCATGGAAAACTGTAATGTAGAACCTCAAAGGATCACTAGACTGAGGTATGAGGTGTTTGACAATGGTGTATAATCCACTAAATTGGAGTAATATATATTGGAAAGTTGGTTACCTTGTTTGATAATTTTAATTTTCTCTTTGCAAGGCTGCCTATACCAATTAATCTGTTAGTTGCTCCTTCAATACTAATTCTTGTGGTTATAGCAGGATATGTTAACCAGTTCTTCCTTTTTTTTCTTTTAATATTGATTTTTTTTTTTTTACTAGCCAGGAAATATTGTGTTCCATGGCAATTACCTCATGTGTCTGAATGTAAACTTGATAAACCAAGACAAAATAATTTTCACACACTGATCCAGGACTTGAGGAATCCATAAATTTGCCCCAACATATGGTGATTGTCATTTTCTTAACATATAGAAGAAGAAGATGAATGCTTGGGAAAACTGCTCAACATGATCCCTGGTCTATTAGGGATGATCTAAATAGTAAATTAATACAACTGCCAATACAAATTCTTTATGGATTAAACCGGTCAATCAACCGATCTCCAAGTTGATAACTTCCAGGTGGTACCAAACACAAGTTTCTCAGCTCCCTCTAAATTCTAGAAAAATTACTAAACACAGTATTTTCTACTATAAGGAGAAAGATCATCTAGCTTCTCAAGGAGAAGGAACTTCCGGGTTCTAAATACAGCCAATTTCCAATTGTCAAACAAGCTCTATAGGTTCCATTTTGAATATTGTTAATAGCTTGCACCAGAAGGAAGTATATATTTCATCCAGTATGTTCGAGTTCATTCTTGTTGTTCTTGGGGGAGGTGTTCGGGGCCATCCTATGTAAGTTATTTGGTAATATTTGAAAAGGGATGTTGAACTTAGTTGGCATGATTCTTGTTAATAATGATGGTTACCATTTTCTTTAGATGCATGGAACCTTTCTTTTCTTTTCAATGCGTCTGTAGTCACCGCTTACACCTTATATCATGCCCCACGATTATTTAATTTAATAAAGTGAACCAAACTTATGATCTAAGCCATCCAATTTTTTAAAACATATTATAATTTGAATGTCTTAAAAAAATCATCTTAATTGGATGGACGTCGATAGCAAATAATCTATATTGCAATAGAACGATTGAAAGTTGGTATTAATCCAGATTTTGGGAGATATTTTACCAATGGGTTACCAAACATAAGAAACTGGGTACACAAGTACTCCACACATGTGAACCAAACTTGGGAAAATAGGATTGGAAAATTCTTGCACATGGGACTGTTCACATATGAAAACTGTTTTACATATGGAAACTGTTACGCATGAACCAAACGAGCTCTAAATAGGTTACACACAAATTCCAGACATGTGAATCAAATGTGGGAAAAAAATAAGATTAAATAACTCTTTCATAGCAAACTGTTTATATAGGAAAACTGTTTTACATGTGAATATTTTGTACAAACCAATCGAGCCTTTAAAGGCCGTGCATTACAGTTTGTTGTTTGGCCATGCCTTGAAGTTAAGGTGCTGGAAGTGCGCACTCCTCATAAATTTGGAGTGGGGCCTTCTATCCCTCCCCAAAAACCTAACCTCTCTTTCTCTCTCTTCCTGCTCTCTCTCTCTCTGTGCTCACTCTTGTCTCATCCTCCCTGTACTTGGCCCTAGTGCTCTCTCTCTCTATACCATTGCAGATCATCTCTAAGTTACATACCCACGTGGCAATCTCTCTGTGAAGCCCTAACTTTCGAATTAGCCATCACAGCTGATTGTAAGGTGCGGCTGATTTGGTTTGAGACCAATGCTTCCTTTTTTGCATGAATTTACATTTTTGTGCTTGTGGTTAATGTAAGTGTTTTTTATTTTTAGCATGTAGATGCTCTTTAATAAGCTAAATATTGGAAGTTTATAAATTTTGAAGCGAAAAGAATAAAATTTTTATCATAAATGGAATGGATGATGATATACACTTATAATGAGTTTTTTTATTGTGAATGTTGAACTAT